ACATTGTTTTAATAACACCAAACATCAGCCAAGCGGCACAAATGCTGGCCAACTTTGACCGTGAGTGTGGAAAGGTAGGACTACAGCTGAATCTTATGAAGACAATGTTTATGAGAAACAGCCTCGTTCCTGACGCCCCATTCGCTCTCAACGGAACAACCATCTCTGAATGCAACAGCTATGTGTACCTAGGTCGAGAGGTCAACATGACAAATGACCTGGCACCCGAGCTGCGCAGGAGGAAGAGAGTGGCTTGGATCACCTTCAAGAACGTCGAAGAAATAGCTAAGACGACGAAGAACCTCCAGCTCCAGGCACATCTCTTTGATTCCACTGTTCTTCCTGCATTAACATATGCCTCAGAGACCTGGGCCCTACGCAAACAAGATGAGAACGCTATTCAGGTCTCCCAAAGAAGAATAGAAAGAGCTTTGCTTGGAATATCACATTTCACTCAAATGAGAGAACGAATCTGGAGTTCTGACATCTGTCGATGATCAAGGATCAGGGACGCTGTCTCATTTGCCAAGGTGTCGAAAATCAAATGGTGTTGTCACGTAATGAGATTTAAAGACGACCCTTGGACTAGAGCTGTTACTGATTGGATTCCACGGGATGTCAAGAGACCGCATGGCCGCCCACCTACCAGATGGTCAGACTTCTTCGTCAAGATCATGAACGATCGGTTTGAGGCCCTTCATGTTCCCAGAGCGAACAGATGCCATTGGGCTACACTAGCACGCGACAGGGACAAATGGAGACGTTACTGGTGCCCACTCGAGCAAATCGACGACTAACGGGAAGTTAAGTGATTAAGTGATTAAGTGAAGTGACATTCAGGAAAAGGCAGACAATGGGGATTATAAAAATAAGTGGTTGCCCCTGGATGTGGGGGGATTAAGGTAAAGGTAAAGGCCCTCCCATTGTTCATCGATTTGCTCGAGCGGGCCCAGTAACGTCTCCATTGGAGACTTTGTTGTTACTGTGTTTGGCATATCGAATACGTCATGGGGAGCTTGCCAGGCTCTGCCATGCGGGCGAGATACTCTCGGTAGCTTGCCGGGCTCTCCGAGAGGGGCGGAGGAATCGAACTTGGGTCGGCCATGTTGGCTGCGTGCAAGGCAAACGCCGTACCGCTGTGCTATCGCTCCAGCTGGGGGGATTAGAATGAGAAATAAGAAGATTATAGAATAATGTTAAGGCAGCGGGAGCAATCTTACAGTGTTGGAGCTCTCATTACACACTTGTCAAAATACACTATCAAGAATAAATCTTAATGTAAATGCTGTTTTAGGTAACAATGATGTGTCAATGTCGGTTCATAGATTGTAAAAAATACACACTGTGGTGTAGGATGTGGGTTGTGGGAAAGACTATTTTGAGATGAGGATATATAGGAACTCTGTACTTTTCTTTCTTTTTTTTTACTTTTTGGGTCACACCCAACAATGCTCAGGGGTTACTCCTGGCTCTGCATTCAGGAATTACTCCTTTTAATATTCGGCTTTTGTACAGCTTCTTGCGTACTGGTCTTTTGTTAGAATTGGAGTAGGCCAGTGGATAATTGTTGTAGTTGAGATGACGAGGAATTTTTCCATAGAATTAGGTGATAAAGGCTGGGATGAAAGTCAAGAGTGGTGGGAGTCAAAAGCACAAGGACTTAATGCAGAAACCAGCAGCTTGGAGCAGAAAAGTGAAGGGACTATGCGTTAATCCAGGCCATCATGTCTGCCCGGAGGGGAAAGGGTGTTCCTCCTTTCTGCCCTCTCCTCTCTGGAAAGAAAGATGGATATCACATGGGAGCCTTGTGGACAGCAGGTATGAGCTGGGCGACTAAAACTTCATGGGAAGGGGGGGCGTTCCGGCCTGTCCTTCACGCCCTTCCGAGGTCACCAGTTGCCCCCCACAAACGGCTCTCCGGCATGGCCATGGCTCCAGAGCACAGAAACCAATCTCTTAATTATCTGACTCTCAGCAGAAATATTTCCAGGGTTAATAAGTAAAATAGCAGAAATCTAAAACCGTGCGACTGCGACATCATTTAATTCTCGAACCCAGCTGTAGAAAGCAAATCATTTCACAATGCTTTTTCAGTATGGCTGATTTGGGGCGGGGGGGGGGTAAACTCTAAATAATAATGGTGCATCTTTTATCGAAACAATGAATCTAGTCAAAGTAGATAGAGTGTTAACTAGAATTCATCTGCCTCACAGGCATTGGGGGTGGGGTGGGGGGTGGGGGTTTATTGGCGTTCTTAGTGGTGAAAAATAAGTATTGGTAAAGGGAAATGTGATTGATATTTGCATGACCGAGACCTAAACCTGAAAGTTTTGTAACTTTTCCCACAGCGATTCAATAAATAAATAAATTTAAGAAAAAAATTTAAAAAAAAGAGTGGTAGGTGTGGGAAATGTAACTGCAGCCGCTTGGTGGCCAACGTCTAGGAGAAGGCCACGCCCACTTCGAGGAGGCCACGCCCTCTTTCGGGAAGGCCACGCCCCCAACCAGTCCATATGCTAGTCCACAGACCTATTGGGGAGGGGCAGAGACTACTTGGGTTGGAGGCAGGTGCTCCAGGCCGGAGTCCCAGCGGCGGCTGGCTTTTGGGGTCAGGAATTACTTCTGGCAGTGCTGGGGAGACCATATGGGATGCCTGGGATCAAACTCGGGTCAGCCGCATGCAAGGCAAGCGCCCTACCCACTGTACTATTGCTCCAGCCCCAGGAACTCTGTACTTTTCACTCAATTTTTTCCTGTGCAATTAAAACTTCTAAAAGATAAATTAATTGAAACAATACAAGAAGCTTTACATAAAAATTAATAAAATAAAGGTAAATAGTTAATTAGGTAAACTAAAGGAAAACAGGAAAAGGACAGAATGAAAATATCACAGTGACAAAAAGATCTGAAAAGTAGAATATAAATATTATATTAAACGTTAAATAAAAATACTTTCATTAAAGGCAGCAATTGTTACACTGTATAAAAGAAATGTACATCTACATTCTGTCTACCAGGGATGCACGTTAAATGCAACTTTTAATGTGTGTGCCATATCCCACGGAGCTCAAGGAACATTTTTGACTCTGTGGCTCAGGGATCACTCCTTACATGGATCAGGGGACCGTATGGGAAGCCAGGGATCAAACCCAGGTTGGCCACATGAAAGCCAAATGCCTTACTTGCTGTACTATCTTTCGGCCTCTAAACATAAATTTCTAATTATATTCAATGCAATCGGTATGCTTAAGAAAAACAGGTGAGCTATGTTAACAACAACCAAGACAAAAAGCATTATCAAAGGTAAAAAAGAATATTTCGAGAGCTCTGGAGCTAGATCGGGGTCAGGGACAATTGCCTTGCTAGTGCAAAATCTTGAGTTCAATCTGTAGTACCACATGGGCCTCAGAATACTGTCTACCTAGAGGCGCATTAAACATCACTAAGGGTGGACTTGGGGTGCTAAGGCTTGAACAATGCCTTTACTCATTGGACCTGTAGGCTGCTCACGGCTAGAATGGAGTAATGTTTCATGACAATTAAAAGGTTAATGTGTCACAGAAAGAATGCATTTATCTGGGGAACATAAAGCAACACAATGGGAGACTAACACCCAGGAGTGGCTGAGATTAGTACCAGGAATTTTGCTCCATGACTTGGAGGCCAGCCACACGTGCTAGGGGAAAAGGAAGCTCAGATAGAGAAGAGAGCACCAAATAAAGGGTGTTGTGAGGATCCTCCCAGGGTGGGAGAAGCATGCTGAAAGTAGACTATAGACCAAACATGATTACCACTCAATGCCTCTCTTGCAAACCATAGGACCCAAAAGGAGAGAGAGAGAGAGAGAGAGAGAGAGAGAACAAAAGGGAATGCCCTGCCACAGAGGCAGGGTGGGATGGGGGGGATGGGGGGGTGGGAGGGATTCTGGTACCCTTGGTGGTGGAGGATGGGCGCTGGTGGAGGGATGGGTACTTGATCATTGTTTAGCTGAAACTCAAGCACAAAAATTTGTAAGTCTATAACTGTATCTCCTGGTGTTTCACTAATTAAAAAAAAAGTGTTAAGTCTGTAAAAAAAATAAAAAAAAATAAAAGGTTAATGTGTCAAAAAGATATAACACTCATAAATAAATACACACGCATTAACAAAGAATATAACGCATGACAACAGAATTACAAAAAGCAAGATAAATCCACAATCATTGTTGAAAATTTCAAGTGTTTTCTATACTGAAGATTTTAGAATTAACTAGACTGAAGAAATCAGTGATGCTAGAGCTAATATGAACTGTACTTGAACCACTTTGACAGTGGGGACTTCAGAATCGCTTTTAAAATCGCAAAGGAATTAGAACTTAGTTTCAATTATGAACGGTAATGAGATAAAAGCTCAAAGGTTGAGGAATGCAACTAAATCAGTGCTTAGAGAAAATTGAGAGCCCTGAATACTTATAGTAGAAATAAAAAGAGGACAGAAACAGCAATCAAAGATTTAATTTAAAGAAAATTATACAAGGAAGCACACGGGAAGCCTAAAGTACTAAAGACACACAGAAAAATACTTTTTTAAAAATAAAGAAAATTCAGAGGAGATTAGCATGGCATAAACAGCTTTGTAACTGTATCTCATGGTGATTCGATTAAAATTATTTTTTAAAAGTAGAGAAAATTGACTATCAAAACTTGGCTCTTCTAAATGTCAATAAAAATGGCTAACTTCCATTTTTGCTATTTTAGGGGAAAATGGAAGAGCCGGGGATATAGCGCAATGATAGAGTACTTACTTTCCTTGCATGTATAAGGCAAGGAAAGTAAGTTTGACCCCTGGCACAGCTAAAAAAGGGATGGGGAGTAGAGAAGTTACTAATATCTGGGAGTGAAAGCAGGCTTATTACAACAGACTAACAAACATTATAATAATAATCACAGGATGTTATGAACTAATAAATGCCAGGAATATGAAACTTTATATGAAATAAAAAATTAAAAAATACAACTTACCGAAAATGACATAAGACAGCATAGGAGAGCTGCATAACTCTGTAACTATTAAAGAAACTGAAATATCAAAAAGGTTTATGCAGAAAACTCAAATCAGCTTTCTCTGGCAAATTTTTTTTTGACTTGCATATTGGCAGCATGATTTTTTTTATTTATTTTTTTTATTAGTGAAGCACCATGAGGTACAGTTGTAGATTTACAAATCTTTGTGCTTGGATTTCGGTCATACAATGATCAAATACCTATCCCTCCACCAGTGCCCATTTTCCACCACCATGGATAATATCCCCCCATCCCCCCCTCCCACCCTGCCTCTGTGACAGGGCATTCCCTTTTGTTCCCTCTCTCCTTTTGGGTGTTGTGGTCTGCAAAAGAGGCATTGAGTGGCAAACAAGTTCAGTCCATAGTCTACTTTCAACATGCATCTCCCCTCCTGGGAGGATCCTCCAAACACCCTTTAATTGGTGCTCCCTTCTCTATTTGAACTGCCTTTTCCTCTAGAATACCCGGCTGGCCTCTAAGCTATGGAGTAATCCTCCTGGTGTTGATCTCAGCTATTCTTGGGTATTAATCTCATATTTTGTTACTTTATATCCCCCAGATGAATGCAATCGCCAGAAACTGGAAGAAACCTGAGTGCCCAAGAACAGATGACTGTTTAAAGAAACTTTGGTACATCTACACAATGGAGTACTATGTAGCTCTTAGAAAAGATGAAGTCATGAAATTTACATACAAGTGATACAATATGGAAAGTATCATGCTAAGCGAAATGAGTCTCTGGCAAATATTATCAATGACGTAAGGAAGAAATGTTAGCTAGTATCCTGAACAAACTCCATTAGGAAATATAGGGAATAATTCCAGATGTGATTTATAAGATCAGCATAAACATTTACCAAATATGGGAAGTCATTGCCAATAATTATAGATCAATATTACTTATGAACATAAAATTTAAAATATATGACAAATATTGGATCATTCAACCTAACATATAATCATATGATTATTATGATATAATAGTGACAGTGTTTTTTAATATAATCATTATGATCATACAACATGATCATATAATTAGTTTTCTCAGTCTCGTTGATTTAACATAGAAAATGAAACCAATCTAACCCACAAAATTAACACAAAAAGTTATTAGAAAATAATCTCTTATTTTCATTTCAGTAGGCACAGAAAAAGTATTTTACAAGGGGCTGGAGCGATAGCACAGCAGATGGGGTGTTTGCTTTGCACACGGCCAACCCGTGTTCGATCCCCAGCACCCCATATGGTCTCCTAAGCTCCGCCAGGAGTAATTCCTGAGTGCATGAGCCAGGAGTAACCCCTGTGCAACTCTGGGTGTGACCCAAAAAGAAAAAAATGTGTTTGACAAAATCCAGCAAGCATTCCTTTTTTGTGTGGGATGGGGGTGATGCTCTCTGATCATAGATCACTCCTGGTGATTCTCGGGGGACCATATCTGGTGCCAGGGATCAAACCACAGTTGGCTTTGTGCAAGGAAAGGGCTTTAACCCTGTACTATATCTCCAGTCCTAGCACCCTTTCTTGGTATTTTAGAAAAATCTCAGCAAACGTGCATTTCAAAGTATCATCCTAAATCAGACAAACACATATATGAAAAAAATAAGCAGCATTGTATTTATAGTGAAATTTGTAGTGAATATGACTACATCATATTTGTAGTGAACTTTCTTTTGTAGTGAAACATTTAGTTCTTTCTTTCTTCTTCCCTCTGTCCCTTTTTCTCTCTCACTCTTCACAAACTGGCTTGGCAACTTTGCACAGAGGCTATGAAATATCTTTATCACCCCAATTTTAGTATATCTTCTTTTGAAGTGAGGACTGAGTGCTTCAACCTGAGTGCAGGGAAAGGAATTTTGCACAACACTGTATCCGCAGTCCTAGTCAGTTATTGAAAGCAACAACAACAACAAAAAATAAAAGGCAAAATATTTGGAAAAGCAGAAGTAAGCTATTTATTTTTGTTTGTATAGCACATGGTTGCTCTTATAGGAGATATATCTAAACCACAGAGTCAACAGAATCCCAACAATAACCAAAATTTAATATATGTCTGTGAAGGAGACAGGTAGCAGGTGGGAGACAACCTGGGACAACAGCTGGAGAAAAGGAGACACTGGTGGCAGGATTGGTGCTGGAATATTCTATGCCTAAAACTGTACTTGAATAATTTTGTAAATTGTACTATCTTAACATTAAGAATAATAAATAAAAATAAATCAATGACATGAAAGAATACATGGAGAGTGTGTGACCCAGTCTCTAGCCCAGGACCTCCAAGAAACAAAAAAAATAAAGAAAGAAAATATGTTAAGATCTGCAAAAAACAAATTTAAATAAGTGAATCAATTGTTTATTATTTATTTATTATAAATATATTTATTTTTATTATTAGAATAAGTAGGTGATACTAGTAGATATATAGTTAATATATGCACAGGAAACTTACAACTTTCATTTATGATAGTTTCAAAACTATGAAAGAGTACTTATTTGAGCAAAATATGTAAAAACATCCAAATAATTAGAAATACAGAGCATTTTATGAGAACAAAAAATTCATCTCATTGTGCCTTTTGTATAAAAATGACAAGCTGATTAAATATAAAAATTAAAAGAATGCTGCATTTTTACAAAACTTTGGTAAAACACTATATCACCAGATTTACAAATCTACTGTGAAGGCTGTGAATGCACTTATATTTATAAGGCTATGAAATGGTATTGTACCAGAGGAGTTTGGTAACTGGCATATGAGCACGTTGGTTGTGGTGGTGGGGCTCAGTAACTTTGTACATCAATACTGTGAACTTGAACACTATTGTGACAGTGCCACCTAAACTATGATTTTAAAAACAACAGGCAGCAGAGATTAGTCTAGACATTAAGTCACTCACCTTGCATTCAGTCGACTCTGGTTTTATCTCTGGTATTATATGTGGTCCCCTGTCTTGGATAACATTGGGTTGTCCTTGTTCCTCCTTCAGGGATCTTAAGTTTATTGAGCTATTAAGTGCCTCTGAGGCACACCCAATGCCATCAAATACTAATAATCTTATATTGATTTTATGGCTTTTCTCTTTCCTTTATATCATTTGCGTGGTTTAGCAATGTCCTTTTTGTATAGACACAGGAAGACAGTTTTAATACTATGCTTTCTAACATGGGAGTTAATTGACTTCAAATAATATTTATTCCTGGACATCCATCATATTTACCAGACTTAAGTCTCAGTTGCCTTCACTTTCTAATAGCCCCAAAAAGGAGGGTCCTGATGAAGGGACTGGATGGACCAGGTCAAGCTATAGGCCACCCTGACATCAAAAGGGGACAAGCTAAGCACCTTAAGTATAAGTAAAGAGCATGGTCGTGGAACAAACTGTCATGACCCAGATAAAAGTAACTGAATAAGGATCCTGCTGGGGTTAGGCAAGACTAACCTGGCCTGAGGACTATAGTCTGGAATATATAGCGAGATGTCCCCAAGAAGAACCGACCTTTAAGCTTAACATATCTCTTACTGTGTTCACACAAAGTGACTACAAATATTATAAGAAAGCAAATTTACTATGATTGGTTATATGAGGAAAGGGGAAAGCAATACACCCTAGGTGGAATTGCATAATTGAGCGGATCTCCTAGTAATCTGGAGTGCTAAATTCTCAGATGAGAGTTTGTCCTTGAATTAATCTCCTATAACTTTCCCTGAAGGAACGGCTTTACTTCTGTTTGTTGTTATGACAATGTTCAACCCCACCTATGTGTACCCCCAACCTTCATGATTTCTATTTAACTATGCTGTAAGGGGACTAGACGAGGACTAGGAGGACCAGGAGGACAAGGAGGATGAAACTATGATGACTGGGACTACAACCAAAACTATGACTATGATTGTGCTGTAAGGGGAGAGATCAGACTAGGCGGGGAAGGAGAGAGAAATAAACTGACTACCAAAAAGCCAGGGTCCCTGTTTCTCTGTTGCCCTGTCTTTCATCTGTTCGTTGCCATGGGCCAGACAGGGGAACAGTTCTAGGCCACCAAATGCTCCAGTTCCTCGCTCCCCCAAGCCTTTCTTTTGAAACTCACACCCTGAGAACCTCCACGGTTGATTCCTGAGTATAGAGCCAGGTATAATCCTTGAGCACCTCTGGGTATGCCCCCAAAACAACAAAAACCAAAAGGAAATAGACCAAGAGAGCAAACAGAGAGTTCATAAATAAATCCACACTTTATATTTTTAGTTTACCTGACATGACCAAAGCAATGTAATGAAGGGAAGGGACATTTGTCCCAATTAACAATGCCAGTATAACTCAGTGCCCTACTTCAGATCAAACAGAATTTGAATCTTTTTGTTGTTGCTGTTTGGGGACACACCCGGAGATTCTCAGGGGTTACTCCTAGACTTGCACTCAGAAATTACTTCTGGTGGTATGCAGGAGGGTTGGAGCGATAGCACAGCGGTAGGGTGTTTGCCTTGCATGCAGCCAGCCCTGCCAAGCCAGGTTCGATTCCTCTGCCCCTCTCGGAGAGCACAGCACACTACCGAGAGTATCTTGCCTGCACAGCAAAGCCTGGCAAGCTACCTGTGATGTATTCAATATGCCAAACACAGTAACAACAAGTCTTAAAATGGAGATGTTACTGGGCCCGCTTTCAGACATTATAGAAAAAATAAAAGTATGAATTATACTCCATTCAATTAAAATTTTGTGATCATTAAAAGAAAAAATACACACAGAACAACTGTATGGAAAAGATCTGACGTTTAGTGTAGATTAAGAAATCTTATAACTAGGTAATAAAAATGCAATCATCCTAATTGTGTGAAGATCAAAATATTTGAACATTTGCTTTCCAAAATATATGTGAATTGCCAAAAGCCGCATGAAAAAGTATTTAACTTCATCCATAATTAGGCATATGTAAATCAAAATCACAATGAGACACTCACAAGAATGACTAACGTAAAAAAAAACTGATCTAGCACCAAATGTCGGTGACAATGTGAAACATTC